CCCTCTCTTCTTCTCTCTCCCCTTTTTACCCCCTTGTCTCTCTACCTCTATTTCTCTCTTCTGTATTCCCCTTTTCTGTTGCTTTCCAGTATTATATTTATTTTTTGAATTATTTTTCTTTTCTTTGGTTGTTTTTTTAAGTCTTAAATTCTCCATTCTCTTTCCCCCCTTTCCTTTTTCTTCCCCACATAAAATTGCTTGTTCATTAAAGATGGCTTCTTCTTTGTCCCAGTCTTCTTGTTTTACAGATGCTTCTTGTTGTTTCTCATAGTTCCAAATCTCTATTTCTAAGAATTGAAAAACGAAGCCAAAAGAACCCTTCCCTTCTTGTGCATCTTCTTTGTACTTTTTAAGTTCCATTTTCAATTCATCCAGAAGTGGTGCCATTGTATACATTTTTAAACAACCACCCGATTGATTTTAGTCATTCAAATATAATAACCAAGAATCCAAAGATCACCAAATAATCCAAATACACGCAAGCTGTTTCTTTTTTGATCTTTTTTTTCACTTTCTCTTCATGGGGTTACTATTTAGTTGCAAAGTTTCAGTTAAAATGTATCTTTTAGAAGTCTTGTTGAAGTTTTACTGTAGATTCTTTTTAATTCCAGGCAGTCTCCTCCCTCTTCCAGATCCTGCCCTTATTCTTTTTCTCTCCCTTCCTGCTTATGAAAAAGAAAATTTTTAATGTCCAGAAATCTTTATTATCCCTTTGGCATTTTGTTTTATTTTCAGCTTAATTGCCTATTGATGTCAAAATGGATTTTTCCAATTTCTTATTTAAGTCTCTTAGTTGTCAGTATAGGGAAGGAGAGAGAAGGGAAAAAAAGCCAAACCTTTCCCTTTTTACTTTCCTTCGCTGCTTCCGACTCTTCTTTGGGAGCGATGTTATTTTTTGTAAGTTTAAATTCCAGGATACCTTAGTTGTTGCATTTATAATTTAACCCGGTCAGCCAAAACTTTCACTTCTTATCTTCCTCCTGCACATTCTTTTCTGGTCAAGTTCTCCTTTGTGGTGGCCATTTCTGATCACCGCTGCAACCGCCTTCGGGAAAGGGAGTAATGGCCAGCTGAGGAGGAGAGATGCAGCCCTCCTCAACCCTGCTGGCCGTCTCCCCCCTCTTCACCACCTCTACGGGGTGGCTTAGCCCCGAAACCAGCCGGCTCGGGGCGCTCCAGCGGCGAGCCCAGACAGAAACCGCGCATGATTGCGGATTTCTGTCTGTCGCCGAAGCCCTTCAAACCGGAAGTCCCCAATGGTATTATTGTTGTTGTTGTTGTTATTGTTATTGCTCAAGGCTGATTTTCTCTATGGATCAAGGTGGTGGCTTAGCAGTCTTAGATCCCAAACCCAGGTAGCAGTCACATTATTTACTCTTCTGAAAAAAGCAGTACTGCTTATTTCAGTTGGTGTATGGGAGGACAAACTACACAGGAACCTTGTGAATTTGATTAAGACGCCAGTGTTGTTTAGTATCATTATTAGGATCATAGGTTGTAGTCATAGTATCATAAACAGAAACTGGGCATAGTCTGACCAATCTCTTTTCTAAATTACTCTTTGTATGTCAAGTAAAACCTCCATGATGGTACATAGACATGTACCCTGAACTATAAAACCACACTTTTGAAGAAACGTAAACTTTCTTTCCTAATGTCCTAATATTACTCAGATGTTTGCAAAATATTCCCTTAATTTCTGTATTCACACGAATAACAGAGTTGGAAGGAGGTCTTTGACTCCAACCTCCTGCTCGAGCAGGAAATCCTATGCCATTTCAGACAAATGATGATCCATTTTTTTTCTTAAAACCCTCCAGTATTGGAGCACCCGCTACCTCTGGAGGCAAGTCGTTCCACTGATTAATTGTTCTGACTGTCTAATTTCTCATTAGTTCTAGGTTGGTTCTCTCCTTGACTAGTTTCAACATGATTCATGATAATTTCAACAACATTCATGTTGAATCTGAGTAAGAGATGATGTATTTTCTGTGTAAAAAGCACGCTCCTGTATGTTGAGCATACATTCACCTCCTACACAATTGTTCTGGATTATTCCACCAGGAATAGTGGTATGCCTGTGAGATTCCCCTCACACCCCATTCTAGCCCTAACGTTCAAGAGCTTCTTTCCATATTTAGGGTTCACCTCTGAAATCCCACCATTGAAGTGGTGTGATTCAAATTTTTTTACTACCAGTTCTGTGGGCGTGATTTGGTGGGCGTGGCAGGGGAAGGATACTGTAAAATCTCCAATCAGAGGTGGCATTTGCCGGTTCTCCGAACTACTCAAAATTTCTGCTACCGGTTCTCCAGAACTGGTCAGAACCTGCTGAATACCACCTCTACACCATTGGTATATTATGAGAAGAAACCTGCCAATTGGTCAGACCTTCTGGGCACCAGACTTGAAGAAGTCTTCAGAGAAAATGAATCAGAAATTGGAATGGAAGCCTTGAAAGAAGAGATTAAGAAAAGCGGCACCACAAAGAAGATAGCTAAGTCTTATTCTCAATCTTCATGGACTGTAGGGCAAGAATAATCGTCCTCAGTTACAGGAAGGCAGATTATAGGTAAACATTAGGAAAATGTTCCTATGAGTAAAAGCAGTTTGACAGTGGTAGCATTTACTTAGGAAAGTAATGACTACCCTTAACAGAACATACATCATCACATGGGAATACCTTGATATCAAGGTAATTAGTAGACAAACAAATTTACACCCCTTATTCAAGTTGATGTTGGAATGGCTTTATAGCCATATAAATGAATCTAAATGACTAGAGGAAGATTGTTTTAAATGGATACATGGCAAAATCATTACTGTAGTGTGGCAAAGAAAAGATCACACACTTTGGTTTAGATTTTACTTTTTCAGACTAGCACTTTCAGACTTCTTAAACTATTTGGGTTTTCTAGTCCTGTAATAGTCACGTTTCAGCTGGAAGATTGGCAACGAGATTCTTTTGGTCTTTTGGCTCTTGTTAGCAACAGAAGTGAGAATTCTACCACTTTGCTGTTAAACTTTGATTGGGCCAAATAGTTGTTCAATTTCGCTTCACAGAGAAGTGATAAATAAACTGTTGCACTAACCTGGCGTTTAGGAAGAATGTATTTTATAAACCTTTTCTCACATAAGAAAAATAAAAGTAAAGGTGGGACAAATGGAACTGGGGAAAATGGCCATGAGCACAGACACAACCTATGGATAGCCATGAAGTCAAAATGAAGCAGGAAAAATTGTGTTGCTTCCCACCAAAATAATAAAAAGCAAAATAATAAAAAGCAAAAGGCCAGTCAGAGTCCATGGAACTGCAGCAGTACACAAATTGGATGGATGGAAAAATGAAGATAGGTAGGTAGGTAGGTAGATTGATAGAGAGATGCTAAATAGATAGAGAGATAGATGATAGATAAATAGATAGAAGGATAGGTAGATAAATAGGCCATGTGAATTTCTTGATCAGCTAAAGAATTGAAAAATCTGCAATGTACCAAGCAGCGATCGAACCATCAAAACAATTCTCTTTCCAGAGATCTTCTCCATTTTAAGTCAGTTTGTGCCTGCCAGAACGTATACATTTATTTTTATTATTATGCTTTTTATTGGATGGATTAACATTAGTATTTTTTATTGCATGGATTGATTGCATAGTAATGCAATTATTGCCATTATGTCAAGATAGTATTACTTTAATTTTTGTTTTTTACTAGGGAAGTTTTAACTGTCATTTTATATTGAATGTTTTAATTATTAATCTAAATTGCCATGAATTGTTGGCAGATTCAATACTACATAAATATAATATAAAATCAAATAGATAGTAAAAGAAGGGCAGCTCTTACCCTTGACCACATTATCAACCAACATGGAAGTGTGCTAGTTCATATCCATTAAAAAAAAATATTGGGAAAAGGAGTAAATCAATCTTTGAAACCGAAGTAACTAAAGATAATTGGATGTGGATTGAGGATGAGGAGAAATCAATATTATGACAGAATGACATAAAAAAAAGGTTACCGGATCATGTTTTTGCTGAAGTTTGGGAGGTAAGAAGTTGAGTTCTATATTCAGTTTGGGTTGAGATAATTTGTTTAGATTTGAAGAGGCTTTTTGACAAACCAAGTCAAGTGGAGAAAATCAGAGAGCAGGAAAAGGGAGACAATGAAATATGAGATCACGAGGCAAACTCCTAACAAATATGGAAAGGGTAAGGTTCACATTCTGACATCATAATGCACATTTCATCCATGGACACCACTGCCATTTGTACCAAATAAGTATAGTTCCAGGAGCCATCAAAGGAAATAGGGAAGATGGGGTGCAGAAAGCTCTGCCTTCCCAGTTTGTCCATACCTAACTTCAGAAATTCCAAACCTATGGTCTTTAAAGAGATAGCACCAACACTGGCAACTGATGAAAGAATGTACTTACCTAAAAATCTGTATAATGTAACCATATCTAACTGGAAATGATGAATAAGCCCATGTATATTAAAAAGGTGGCACAACAAGGTTACCAGGCTGTTTCCTGAAAGAACAAAAAGGGCATATCAGTTAATTGCATTTACTATACCATGAAGTAGATAGAATGCACGCTCTGTAACTAGAAATCTTCCTAGTAGTTTTTGATTACCTAAACAAGTAGTGGCCTAAGTTTATTGGGACAAGACAAATTCACAGCTAGCATGGCAGCTAAAGACATTTCCAGAACATCTGGAGGGCTGATAGCAAGAACATCCTTCTACTGGTCCAACATTGGATATGAAATAAGTTACAACCACGATTGGGACCAAATTTCTGTTGTTAAGCAAATGATAGTTAACTGAGTTGCTTCCGATTTTACAACCTTTTTTGCTATGTTGTTAAGAAAATAACTGCAGTTGATAAATGAATCTAGGTTGCCATTGACTTTGCTTGTTGAGAGATGGTTGGGAAGGTCTCAAGTAGAGATTACATGACCTCAGGTCTCTGCAACCATCATAAATATGCACATGCTGGCTGCCAAGTGCCCAAATTTTGATCACATGACCATGGGGATGCTACGATGGTCGTAAGGATGCGGACCAGTCATAAGCCCAAATTTTGATCAGGTGACTGAGGGGATGCTGTGATGGTCATAAGTGCGGGGACCAGTCATAAATCGCTTTTTTTCAGTGCCTTATAAACAGTTCACCAAATGAATGGTTGTAAGTCAAGGATGACCTACATATTTTTTGTGATTGGAACAACATGTCCAGGAGTTTTCAGTGATGTCCAAACATCTTATTCTTTTCACACTGATTCTTTGCCGAAGACTGCCTATACTTCATGGATGTTCCAGGTATTAACAGAAGATACTGGGTATGTACTAAGATTAATTTTTTGCTCTCAGGGAACCACAGACTGACTGAGTTAATGGCGCTATTCAGCCACTGCTCATTGTACCGGAAAGATGGGCTACAAGTCAGCAGGCTGCCTGTTATGCAATATAACTGTTATTATCACATTTCTTCTGAGAAGGAAAGACAGTAGGCTGCATTTTGAATGAAAGCCAAAATTCACATCAAAGGCTGAGCTGCGGAAAGAATCTTGTATCCTTATGGTCAGAGCAATGCATTTTTAAAGTTTTTTTTTTTTAATTCATCTAGGATACTTTGAGAAAAAGGAAGAGATAAGCGTAACCCTGAATTTTATAGGTCTTTTTTTTTGGCAGGGACAAAAAAAAGTACCACTTATGAAAGTATGAGGGGAAGAATTCTGGCCCCAGTCTTTCTCCTGACATCGTAGCCTAAAGGCTGACTTTAATCAGCTAATTTTAAAGTTATATCTAAAGTCAAATTACTAATAAATCAAAATTGTTTTGCTTTAAAAATAACAAATACTATCAGTAGGAGCAAGATGGTTGTTTTTAGCAGGATCTGTGTGATAAAGAGAGAGAATTGAGGCCTGGCATATACTGAAACAAAAAATTAGAAGACTAAAAGTGTCAATGACAACAAGAAAAGATATGCACGTGCTGTGAACTTGCACAAATCTCTACAGACTTTTGATATCAAATGGACAATTCAGGTATCTTTTCTTTTCCTTTTATTTCTTTTTTGTCCACAGTTACAGAGTTGGTACCAGGGGTGGGATCCGACCAGCATAACAACCAGTTCGGGGAGCGCACGCATGCACGTCAAATGTGCGCTGCAAGCGCGTGCGCACTATCAGCTCCGGCAAGCATTTACCTTCTCCAGCTACCGAGCAGCACTAAGCTGTGTCGCACAAAGCAGCTGAAGAGGAAAACGCATTCGCTAAGGACAGCCTAGAGCCCGGGCAGGTGGGAGGGACAAACAGCAGACAAAAACCTCATCCCAGTGAACTGGTTCAGTGTCAGCTGCTCTTTGGAGCTACCGGTTCTATAGAACCGGACCAAACCGGTAGAATCCCACCCCTGGTTAGTACCATTGTACCAACAAGAGCCAAGATGTTCTGCATAGGGTAAATTCCAGGATATAGGATAGTACAATCACAGCTATAAAAAGGCATTTTTGCAGCCCTCTATCCTGTCTGTTTAGGCTATTTCTCTTCATGTTGTGCAAGAAGAAAAGTTTCAACAAGAGAAGCTTTAAGGTTGAAGGACCAACCTTGACTGCAATCCATGAAAACATGAAACATTACTGTTGGACATAGATTTAATGAAATAAGCATTTTGTGCTGTTTCTTTGTATCTTACCATTTGTCAAGCGGTCGAACAGGAAAATGTCAAAATCCCACATTCCCACTTTGGATAACATATGCTGGAAATAAAAAGACAAAATGCAGAATAATTTGTATGTGCCAATTAAAATGTAAAGTGCTTTCTATTAAAATGAGCAGAATCCTTAAAACAAGGTAAAACCATTGCACAAAGAAAGCCTCATCTAGAATTAGAACTACCCTGAAAATCAAAGTTCTATACCTAGAAAATAGGTGATTTATCCCAAATTAAGTATTTAAATCTAGAAGCTGCACAGCTTTAAGTTACATAAAAGCTACTCCCCCCACCCACCCAATTCTGAGCAGGTAGAAGAATGTGATCATGTTATGACAACATGTAGCAACTGAAGCGATTTCCCCCTTTTTATATCTTCAGATTGTTTGACAAGGTCTTGCCATTAAGAGTCCCAACTTTTTTTTGAAAGCTTTACACATTTTATTTAGGGAGGATTTGGGGCATAAAACAAAGACTTTGAGATTGCATGGGGTTGATAGGCTTTAAGATGCCTAACCCCTATTTAAGAATGAATAATGTTATTTTTAGTTAATGCATGAGCTTACTTAAAATGCCTACATTTGCGCGATGGAGAAAACAGTCCACAAACATTTGAAAGGAGGGAAACCTGCCAGAACTGGGGAAGGAATTTTGGCTTAAAATTAAAACATGATTTGGCTAGACAGCAGCAGGGCTCACACATTGTCCTGAGTTATAAAATCGGGACCAGAATTTCCACTGCAAAGCAAGGTGGTTGTTAAATGAGTTAGACCCAATTTTACAACTTTTTTTTGCCATAGTTGTTAAGCGAGTCATTACAGTTGTTAAGTAAATCATGCGGTCATTAGGCAGATCTGGCTTCCCCCATTGACTTTGCTTGTCACAGAAGCCAGCTGGGAAGGTTGCAAATGGTGATCTCATATGACCTCTTGAGAGGGCAACCATAGTTAACGGAGTGCTGGTTGCCGAGTGCCTGGATTTTGATCATGTGACTAAAGGATGTCGCAGCAGTTCTAAGTGTGATGTAATTCACTTTTTTTTCAGTGCCACTGTAATTTCAAACAGTGGCTAAATATTGCTTGTAAGTCGCGAACGATCTATATTTGGTTTGTCATTCTGATTTATACTTCAGTTCTGATACTGAATCAAAATATATGAAATTATCAGTAGGCCATACCACTCCAAACTCTGGGTGGTTTATAATAACTCTTAAGGAGACAGATCCAAAGCTTAATCCTGAGGAGACATATCAGCAACAATAAATTATTTTCACACTGCACTGTACGAATCCTGACATTGTGTCTCATCAACTAATTCCTGAACCTAGCTGGGATCTACAGATAAATCTATCTAGTATTAGTCCTGATGGGAACTAATAGAAATCAATACTGCAATGTTGTTCCATCATACAGGTAGTCCTTGATTTATGACCACAGTTGAACTCAAAATTTCTGTCGCTAAGTGAGCCAGTTGCTAAGTAACTTTTTCCCCACAGCATAAACTTTTCTGCCACAACTGTTAAGTAAATCACTGCAGTTGTTAAAGTAAATCATGTCAAGAGAATCTGGTGATCACATGACCCTGCGATAGTGCAACAGTCAAAAATACATACCAGTTGCCACACACCCGAATTTTGAACACATGACCATGGGATGCTGCAATGGCCAGAAGTGTGAAAACCAGTCATAAGTCACTTTTTCCACTGCCATTGTAACTTCATATGGCCACTAAATGAATGGTTGTAAGTTGAGGACTACCTGTTATGTATCTAAAACAGTTAAAATAGATAAAGGGACTTGGTTGAAAGGCTTTAATTCATCCCAGGACAGTTTTACTTGGATATGGTGCTGCTACAGATGAAAATTACAATTCCACACTTCGAGAGTTTCATAAAAAAGACCTCTGAATTGACGTGTACAAGATTGTACTCTACAGTATTAATATTTTTTCTGTCAACTTCTTTCAGCTAGCCTGCCTTAGAATCAATCTTGCCTATATGGCAGACGGATTAAATTAATAATACAGCTTAGGCCCGATTCAGATAATCAAATCCTAACTGTGACTTCTTGGCATAAATCTCCGTGTGTACAAAACTCTTTCATGCTGCTTTGTTCTCATTTTCATTCAAACATAGCAGGGAGCTTCTCATTATTCCCAATTTGGCCCAATGGTTAAGGCACCAGGATAGAAACTGGGGGACCCTGCGTTCTAGGCATGAAAGATGGGTGTGTGACTTTGGGCCATTTACTTTCTCTCAGCCCAGCCCACCTCACGGGGTTGTTGTTGTGGGGAAAATAGGAGGAAGGGATTTAGCAGTGGTGGGATTCAAACTGTTTTACCACCAGTTTGGTGGGCATGGCTTGGTGGGCGTGTTTTGCCTAATGCGCATGCACAGCTTTCCCCACACCAGCTGAGGCCTGTAGCGCCAATCAGCTGAGAGGATAAAGAAGAGTAGGAGGGCCATTCCTTCACTTTTCTCTTCTGCCCCTGGATATTAGGTATGTTTGCTGCCTTGAATTATTCATAAAAATAAGAAAGACAGGATAACAATCAATCAATCAAATTATGGTTAAACTAGGAATGACAGTCCAAATGCAGCTTGATTATAAGAACCGAACTTGATAGAATAGATTGCTATTTACCCTTGCTTGACCAAGGTAGTCTTCATCCAATAAGTACAGTGAGGCTTGTGGTACGATTCCACGCAATAGCCTGGATGCATGGAAGTATCTCTGAAAACTTAGCAGTCTCTTAACCTTTTTCTTTGTTCCAATTTCTCCTGAGTAAATGGTATCTATGGGAAAAATGGGGACAGAAGATCTTCACTAAAGTAAAAACACCAGCTTCACAAAAGCAAAACCTTAGTTCGCTGTTTTTAAAATTTCTGAATAATATAATTATGCTCTTATTTTCCCTAGTCACAAGAAATATGATACTACCATCACATTCTATTTAAAAAATGTGATAAGTTGTTGAAGCTAGAAACAATCACAATATCACTTGTTTATTGTTTTCTGCTGCCTAAACTGGACTGCCTATAGGCTAAGGCCTAGTAGATATCAATTTAGGGAAACCAAAGTTTAGGGAGCACCGAAATTGAAAAGATTTCTGACAAACACACACAAAATAGAAAAATAGTAATGTCTCATCCTGTCAATCAGTGTGCCAGTTCAAGGATTAAATAAAACTTCACAGAGTTGTTGACATATAATAAAAAGGGACGGTGCTGTACTTAAAATTAGAATGTATATAGGGTGAAAAAAATGGCCCAGAGTTGAAAAATCACAACTGTAAATCTTCAAATGTCAAAGAAAAAAGAAACAAAAGGACATCATTTTTGAAATTCTTAGCAAACTCAGAAGATGAGTCAAACCATAAGAGACGCCAGGATATGACTTTGCCTAGAGTGCCAAAACGTCTATAACCAGCCCTGGCCTAAACAGATATGTGAGTAAAGAAAATTATTTAAATGTATTACAGCTATTTGATCTGGGTTGCCTGCTGGATGGCACAAAAGTTTCCTACGTACATCTCTTTATTTTCATCTGCTGGTCATCCTGATTTTTGAACCTGGTAGCCCTTATATGCATCCTCATCAGTTAAGAAATAAAGCAAAACAAGATTGTAATACACAATATTTTGTGCCTGCATTTAATATCAAGGGAATTTTAGGTGAATTTCTATTCTACCTCTTCTTTGTCCTTACTGGCAAATTCGCAGTGTTTTCCTTCTACATTGTAAATCCAAAAGAGAAAAACCAACTTTATTTATCATATTAACATGTATCTGAACAGCTTCCTTAAATTGACTGTTATATTCAAAGAGCAAAATTTGATCATTTTTTCAATTCATCTCAATGCAGTAATATAGAATAGAATAGAATAGAATTCTTTATCGGCCAAGTGTCATTGGACACACAAGGAATTTGTCTTGGTGCAAATGCTCTCAGTATTCATAAAAGAAAGGATACATTCGTCAAGAGTCAAGAATCATAAGGTACAACACTTAATAATAGTCATAGGGTACAATAAGCAATCAAATCATACTAGGAAACAGTCAATATAAATCATAAGGATACCTAACACAGAGATTTAAAACTAAACCTTATTGTGTCCCTTTTTAATATTTTCCACACTCTTTAGTTATACTTTTTAAAGATGTATTCACATTAAAGTATAGCATTTCCCATATCACATACAAATTGTCACTTGGGAGCAAATAACAAAAGATTGTTTTATTTCATAGAGAATACTAAAGTGCATAATCAATCTGACTTGATTACTCAATATTCAAATCCAGAGTTACTGACATGATTACGCTGGCCACATACAAAACATTGTCCACTTTTTTTTTCAGAACTAAGTCTTTAAAATGTTTTATAAGGTGCCCTGGGATATATTTGTTTTGAAATCTGATTTAATAATATCTTAAATTAAATAAAGAAAAACAAATCTTCCCTTAAAACTAAACAGTTTAGCCTTTCCAAAATAAAACTTACCTGGTTAATGTAAATGGAATTTTAAGGCTAAATCCTTGGATTTCTCCAGTGCTCCACTGGCTGAAGTTAATTTTTGCTTATTTAAAATAAATATTTACTTATTTAAAAACATTTTTGTCCTGCGCTCAGCTGCTGGCAGAATACCTTATATGTAGTAAAAAACCCAACCACCTTGGCCTTCAGGCTTCCAATTTATAAAAGCACGTTGCATGCACATATGTTTTTAAACACCCATAGTGACAGAGAAGGGGAGGAAAAAGAGGCACGAATTCCAAGTATTTTCTATGGGGTAAAAATATCTAAGTACATTTCAACTTGAGTACATAACTTAAGTAAACAAATACTTAGTTTATTGTTCACCTATTTTAGCAAAAATAATTCTTTACATTATTTTGATGAAGAATAATCTCTCAAAAGATGCATTTTTTCTAATACAAGTGCCATCGTCTTCTTTCATTATTTGACCTGATATAAAAATTACTAGAATCAAGTCGATTAACACTTTTCCTCCTCCTCCAAATTTCATTACTGCACTCCATAAATTGGTGAACTCCAATTGCATGGCATCCTAGCCAGCCCAGCCAATGATAAGAGATATTGGGGGTTGAGGGGTTCTTGGTGCCCTCTGAGTTTGCTTTTTTTTCTTGCAGATGTTTCATTACCCTAAGTAGGTGACATCATCAGTACTAGTAAGAAGTACTGTTTGCTGTCAGTTTGTATTCTAATGTCTTGTATGTCTGTGTGGATGGGGGTGGTCTGAGGGATTCTTTGTTTGGGCTGTTCATTAATGGCTCTTTGTTGGCCAACCAAAGAATCCCTAAGACTGCCCCCACCTACCCACATAGACAGGCAAGACACAAAAATATAAACAAACAGCAAGCAACACTCCTTACTAGCACTGATGATGTTATCTAGTTTGGTAATGAAATATCTGGGGGGAAAAACAAACCAAGCTCAGAGAGCACCAAGGACCCTTCATTTAAATCCTGAGCTACAAATATTCTCCTTTATTGATAATGGGGGTGCTAAGATGGCAAATGCTAGAGAAGACTCTTGCAAGTCCCTTGGACTGCAAGGCGATCAAACCGGTCAGTCCTAGAGGAGATCAACCGTGACTGCTCTTTAGAAGGCCAGATCCTGAAGTTGAAACTCAAATACTTTGGCCACCTAATGGGAAGAGCCTAATTCTGGGAAAGATTGAAGGTAATAGAAGAAGGCGATGACAGAGAATGAAATGGCTGGATGGAGTCACTGAAGCAGTAGGTGTGAGCTTAAATGGACTCCAGAAGATGGTAGGGGACAGGAAGGCCTGGAGGAACGTTGTCGATAGGGTTGCAATGGGTCAGACATGACTTCACAACTAACAACAACAAGATGGCAAACATTTGGAGCTCCCACCCCCTTACCCCCCATTTGAAGGCCAATTATATCCTTAAGAAACTATATTATATGCATTGAATTATATACACAATAATTAAATATATAAAGAATTTTATAAGGTAAGCTCTTTTACCTAGATACTTTTGAAGTCATTTTTAAAAGGGTTAATACTTTATGGCTGATTGTGAAGTCAAGAAAGGAAATACCCTTCTTTCCCTGTTCCTGTTCCTCCTTATGGCAAATGAACCTGTAATAATAGAATATATCCAGCTTTTTCATTTATCATCTTAATGGCTCTTTAACTTTGTTTTCTCTCTTTCTTATTGCAGTTGGAAAATATCCTCAGTGTTATCATCACAACACCCTTTTCCTTGGAACAGAAGGTCAGGTAACAAATTAAATAACCAATCTCATGGTTTAAAGTATATATATTTCAGTTTTAGAAAACTGTGGAAAATAATCAAGTGACTAATTAAATGCTTGTGGAAATAATATGAAATAAATATAACAGGGTTTCTGGATAAGAAAAGCTATACTCCTGATCCAAGAACATACTTTAAGTGAAAAAAAAAAGTACTGCAACAGGTGGGTATGGTTTGTTCAAAATACTTCAACAGATTGGCATGGGGTAATGACATAAAATGTACATTCAAACTGACTTTTGGTAATGAATTTAACAGTTTAAAATGGTGGTGGGAATTTTGAAAACAGAGGAGTGTTTCTTCAAACAGAATTCTACACACACACACACACACACACACACACTTCATTCTATTTCATCTTGTCAATACATTGTTGAATCCAAAAGTCTAGCAAAATCTTTCTCTCTCCCTCCCGACCTCTCTTTTTCCTATATCTCTAACCCATGCAAATTTTATATCAAACTGTATATGGCTTTATCAACACTCTGAATTGGCCTGGAAACCTACTGACAGTCAACTCAGTGGTCTTAAAATCAGTGTTTCTCTGCTGTAGTGAGATTGTGCCAATGACAGTCTGGGCACTGCATTCTGTACCAGTTGTAGCTTCCAGGTTATCTTGAAAAGAAACCACATGCGGAATTACAGTTATCCAACCAATTGATGATAAAGGCTAGCACTGTCACTAGGACACTGCAACCAATGCTGGGCAAACCCGCTCCCACCCCAGCCATGGTTTCCATCCACTGATGAAGAAGCATCCATGAATCTCCCAAATTATGGACCACATTTAGGGGGCGAACAATCCCATCTTGGGACTAATGTTACCAAATTACTTACATGTATGTAGTGAAACAGAAATTCCAGCTTCATAGGGATAATGTCCATCTACAGTATATCTCCCATGACTATCCAGTCCTTAACAGCCACCAAACACCAGTTCAACAGTGTCTCCAGTTCAGCCGGCAATGGGTCATCAATGTATTCATGACACTTCACCCCACATTAATAGGCGACATCTCCCAGCAATTTCATAAGGATGCATTAACTTAGGCAAATTAGGATTCATAATATTGGGAAGCTGCAACATGGGACCTTAAGGTTATGTTCTAAAGACTAACGTGGCTTTAAGGAAAAACAAAGGAACTTTATACCACAAATCTCCAATACTATACTACCTCCACTATTTCAGTACCTCAAGACCAAATATTTATAGATAATGCTTTGTCTATAATCATTGATTAATCATATAATAGTATAATAATTAATTGTACCACTAATTATTGTACCACTAATGACCACTAATTTACTGATTCATTGAACTGATAGAGATTTAATACTGTATCATTATCTAGTCTATTGATTGATTGATTGATTGATTCTTAGTAATAAGTTGATTGATTGATTTTTAGTAATAAGTAAACTTACTTTTGATTTGTTCTCTAACTTATCAATTAACATTTATTAATTACCAACATTCATTAAGTAACTGTCTAC